AAAGGTCAAATTCCACATTTGTCTGTTGAGAGGTGGGGAGGTAGAAGCAGAGAAAGTGGTCAGTCAAGCAACATAAAAATGGCAAGTGAGCCCAAGCCAGTGAGGTGGCTTTGATTAGTTGTATACAGAAAGGTGATTGAGTCAGAATGAAAACCTCAGCAGAGCTGTGTAGTTTTCTGCATACAGGTCTTTTACCTCCTTAGTTAGGTTTATTCCCAGATATTTTATTTTTTGTTTTTGCTATACGAATGGGATTTTTTCCTTGATTTCTGCTTCTGCTGATTCATTGTTGGTGTACAAAATGCCTTTGATTTCCGGATATTGACTTTGTAACCCGCTGTTTAGCCAAATTCATTAGTTCGAGCAGTTTTTGGATAGAGTCTATAGGATTTTCCATGTACACTATCATGTCACCTGCAAACAGTGACAGTTTTGCTTCCTCCTTTCCTATTTGGATGCCTTTTATTTCCTTTTTTTGCCTGATCGCTGTTAAAAAGACAACCAACTGTATGGGAAAACATATTGCCGATGATACCTCAGACAAAGGTTTAATCTCCAAAATATACAAAGAACTTACATGACTCCACTCTAAGAAGACAACCAACCCAATTAAAGAATGGGAAAAGGACTTGAACAGACACCTCTCCAAGGAGGACATACAGAATATCCAGAGACACATGAAGAGATGCTCAATATCATTAGCTATCAGAGAGATGCAAATTAAAACCACAATGAGATACCACTTTACACCAGTCAGGATGACTATCATAAACAAAGCAACAAACAACAAATGTTGGAGAGGGTGTGGGGACCTTAGTTCACTGTTGGTGGGATTGCAGACTGGTACAAGCATTATGGAAAACAGTATGGAATTTTCTCAGAAAAATAAAAATCAACCTGCCTTTTGACCTAGCAATTCCACCGCTAGGATTATATCCTAAGAATCCTAAAACATCAATTTCAAAGAACCTGTGCACCACAATGTTCATAGCAGCACAATTTACAATAGCCAAGAGTTGGAAGCAACCTAGGTGCCCGTCAGTAAATGAATGGATCAAAAAATTGTGGTACATATACACAATGGAATTCTATGCTGCAGAGAGAAAGAAGGAGCTCCTACCCTTTGCCACAACATGGATGGAACTGGAAAGCATTATGCAGGGGTTGAAAGAGAAATACCATATGATCTCACCTTTAACAGGAAGCTAAACAACAAAATAAACAAGCAAGCAGAAAAAAAAAACCAAAGACACTGAAATAGAGAACAAGGGGACAGTGACCAGAGGGGAGAGGGAAGGGAATTTAAGGGGAAAAGGGGGGAGGGATTTGGAGGAACAAATAGGAAGGACACAGAGACGAGAACTAAGGGGGGAGGAAATGGGAGGGAGGTGGGGAGCATGGGGTGGGAGGGGACTGGGATGAGATAAATAAACAAAAAAACTGTACTTGAAAAATAACTAAAAAAAAACCCTCAGCAGAGATGTTTTCACCAGGGTTAGAATCTGGCAGCGGGAGCTGTGTGCTTGTTGGTACCCTTCCGGCACAGCTTATCTCTTCAGTACCCTGTTTTACAGGTATGCTTAGTCACTTTCAGAAAAGGCTCCCTCCTGTCTTTTTCTAAATTGCTTGCACGTTTAAGTGATCATTAAAATGATACACAGTTCTTTCACCTACATAATTGCTTCATCATCTTATGAATTTCATATTTTTCAGCTTTCTGGCAACAGAACCCTAACCCATTCTCTTACAATGACAGGGTTGGAGCACAGTGCATTGGATTTAACCAGTTTAAGTCCAAGTTTCTACCTGAGTAGACTATCATAGTGGCTCAGTTTCTAAATTCCAAAGCTGTTTCTTGAATTCTTGACATTAAAAATAAAATTTAGCACAGTTAGAAGAAAACCAAAATCATGAACAGAATTATACATGTAAAATAAAAAATAATTTCTTTAAAATCATGAGAACTAAAGTCAATCTAAGACTTTATTCACACAATTATGATTTTCTACAGTTAATGGTAGTATGGAAAGGTAGAGCACATATCAGTGAGCATAAGTATTCTTTCACTGTAAAATGTGATTGGAACCCTCACTGGTGTGACTCCATTGTTTGGAGCATCAACCCATAAACTAAGAGGTCGTGGGTTTGATTCCCAGTCAGGGCACTTGCCTGGGTTGTGGGTTTTGTCCCTTGTTGGGATGAGTGTGATAGGCAACCGATCAATATTTCTCCCTCACATCGATGATTCTCTTCCTCTCTCTCTCTCCCCCTTCCCCTCTCTCTAAAATCAATAAGCATGCTCTCAGGTAAGGAACTCCCCCGCCTGCAAATCCTACTTCACTTATTACGAGAAAGTTTATACCTGGCCTGAGTCATCCAAAGATACTTTGTAACCTAGACATCTATTTCATGAAGTTTTCTCAAACATGATAAAAGGAAATAATCACTCAGCTGAAAACCAAAAATTACTATTCCCAAGTAGATTGCAAAGAGGAACACTCCAGCATTTAAAAGTGTGATTGTAGAATTATTTCCCATTAAAAACTTAGACATTCAGTAAGCACAAAGGTGATAAAAAGAACAGAGATGTAGATACAGATACATAAAGGGAAAATGGGAGATGAATAGGGAGATGAGAAAACAGAACAGTAAGCTTGGTAAAGGAGGAAGAGAAAGAGAACTCTTGTTATATACTAGAACATAATACTCTAGTCCACCTAATCTGTAAAATAAGGGGTAGATAATTTTAGGCCACTTTCTAGACTTAAAAAAATCGAATTTTAGAGGGCTAAACTGACTTATCCAATGTCTCTGAGCTAGTAAATGGATTGGTCATGATCGAAAGCTGGGAGTGTTTGTTTTTAGTTTTCAAATTTTATTATTTTTAATCCTTACCTGAGGATGTTTTTTCATTGCTTTTAGAGAAAGAGAGGGGAGGAGAGGGAGAGAGAGACAGACATTGATTGGTTGCCTTTTCTTATACACCCATACTGGGGATTGAACCCACAACCTGGGTATGTACCCTGACTGGGAATCAAACCCACAATGCTTTGGTCTATGGGATGATGCTCCAACCAACACTGGCCAGGGCAGGAGTGTTCATTTTTAAAGACAGAACTTTTTCCAGAAACCAGCCTAGCTGGCAAAAAGCAAGGCACAGATTGGAGTGAGAGAGGAAAATGAACCACATTAAATTCCACGCAACAGAAGCAGTGTTGACCCTTTCTACTTTTTTTGTGATTTCTTTTGGCAATCAGCCTAAACTTCTAGGTTCTAGAATCCAACCAAACCTGTCAGCTTAGTGTCAAGCCTCAAACTCTGCCCGTGTTCAAAGAATTTTTGAACGAAGAAGACTGTTGGATGGCGTACACCCCCTTCACGCAGGAACCTGGCGGGTGTGATGCTGGCATTCCAGGCCACTTGGTAGTTACTAGGTGGAGGTCAGTAGTACGGACCATGCAGGCTGGCTGTTGGGCCGTGTGAAGCGCAAGTGGGTCATATTCTGATATTCAGTGAAGCCTACCAAAAACTAGTCAATTAATAAATATCAATTAGTTAATAAATATTTGTTGAGGTCCCACTTTATATCAACTCCTTCTGCCCCTCCTCTCCCCTCCCCTCCCTGACAAGCTGCTAGGAAGTTACAGAGCCAAACATTTCAGGAAAATATAAATGCTCAATGAAACAGCTTACTGCTTTGTTAAACAATTAGAAATATTATGATCGAGTGATTGCATGTTTTTCTTTTCATACAGATGCTTGACTTAAAGTTGATATTAGTTCACTCCTAGGGAAGAACTGCTTATCAAAATCACAAGGTTTAAAAACTTCATATTATCTTTGGGTTGTTCTAGAAACTCCACAATAGGCTAAATCTATGTCAATATCCCAGAATCTAATTTTGGCTAACTTGTTTGGTTAAGTTATGTATATTTCCTTCACAAAAAGAAAGCAGAGCTTAACTCCAGTAATTTTGATTCCTTTTGTACAACCAAGTAACTTTAGAGCACTAATAAAATTCAGTTTCAGCATAGCAATCACAACTATGTTCTAAAAGCTCATGTCATTATAGCAGCCACAGAAAACCTTAGGCTGAGAGGATTCCCAGTTAATGGGCTTGGCTGTGTCTCAGAAGGCTTGGGCCACTCCCTCACCCCCCTGCTGGCCCCGAAGGGACCACATCTACGGAACCCTAGGAATCTTAAAAGGCTGCACAAAGCATTGCTTTAAGAGTTCAGAGAAGCTAAGAGTTGTTTGTTTTTCTGGTATTGGCCTATTGAGACATTCTCACAGAAAAAGGCTAGTGCCAGGCAGGCATAGCATAATCAAATAGAATTAATTATTACAGTTTCAATGCACTAAGGATATTGAACTTCCCTTTTTAAATCACAGAAAAATCCTGGGTTAAATTATTCAAACTGGGAGAAAACAATGTGAAGACTACTATAAAAATGTGACTCATTTAAAAAATGGATTTAATATCAGCCCTTGTGAGCTGTATTTGATGTTTCACACATCATGCTCTGATATCTTCAGGAGAAACAGTGAACTGTGTGCTGTACAGAAATAATCAAGAAAAAGGTACCATCTTCTATTTAATAGCATAATCTATGTAGAAATACAGAATGATTGTGGCAAAATACAAGTAATAGGATATTTTACTGTATTTAAAGAATTAGGTGTGTGAATGGCATTTCGTAAGCTTTTAGAAATGTGTGTGTGTGTGTGTGTGTGTGTGTTTGTGTTTGTGTTTGTGTGTGTCTCTTCAGGGAGCTGTCCATAGACCTTGTACACGAACTCTTCTCTTTTCTCTCAAATCACACCCAGAAGACCTGGATGCTTTTTAATGAGGTTATGCAGTCTCTTGACCCTATTTGGCCAGCTGTCAGCAGCTGGGCACCTGCATCACTCTTTGGAAAGAGCATCTCTCAGTAGGCTGTTATGTGAGTAGAACTGATGAGTACACTGTGTCCCATTAGGAATGCTGTTGTTTATCTTACCTCTTCCTTCTCCGCACTTTGCAGATCGCGCCACTCCTCAGTTACGTGACCGAAATCCACTGTGTTCATGGGGACTTTAAATTCCCCGATGATGTCATGCTTGGAGAAACGATCAAAATCATACACAGCCATGACCAGGGTTTTGCCTCCCAATTCCGAGTACGGCACCTAAATGAAAAGAGATGAGAATAAAAGTGTGGTCACAAAAATGCTTAGAACGTGTTAATTGTTTACAGTATTTAATTTTAATATTTATGTTGGATAAACAGATCAGAAAGATGATTGTGCTTTTGATATTTTCTCAGATTGGGTCATTTGACTAACTGCTTTTGGCTTAAATGACTTGGGAGAAAATGGGGACTTCCCTTCGTAATTTATCACTTGATCCCAAGGTTCTGGAAGCTGTTAGCATTATTTGTAATGGATCCTACTAGGAGATATGCTATAAACACTCCAAGAGCCATACCAGAATAAACCAAGCCAATTGGCTTGACAAAACAAAACAAAATAAGTTTTTCTTGGAGACTATGTCATTGTTGCTGTTTGTTCCATTGTCAGGATGTGGCTTCTTCCTCAGGGGTAGATGACTTTCAAGCCTCTTGGATGCCATATTTTAATGCAGCAGTAACTTATTAAAAGCTATTCTAGCAGTCTGAAAGGGTTTAAATTAAATTCACAGGATGCCTCGCCTACTCCCTAAAATAATTTACTGATTGACAAGAGATGACTAGAAAATTGATGTTTTGAATTTCAGGGACACATTATAATCTAGATCTTGAAGTTCCTTCTTAGGTGTAACACTCTTTAGGACGAGTGGTGGCAAAAGGCCGAGAACTGATGAATTCTCCAGCTGTTCAAATGTGTCTGGGACAGATGCTATGGGTTGAAAGGTTTATTAGTGACATTTTTAATATTCAGAGAAAGCTGTGAAATCCAAGTGAGCTACACTTCAGTAACTAGATAGAAATGCCTAAATAAGAAATTGTTTAGATTTATATTAAAGGTTTGATCAATTTTCATACTTTCTATTATTGTATCAGTGTAAATTGTTCTCTTATGCTTGAGCAAACATTTCACAATTAACTATATATTAAGAAGGAAAGAAGGAAGATTATTTGATCATATATGCATAAGAAATTTTAGTTTTTCTAAAAATTCTTTATTTTCTGTCATTCATTATCTATTTGGAATCTGATTAAAATACTACAGTTAAGACCTCATCATGATGCTTTTTCCATTTTAGAAGGGGAAAAAAACCCTTTCAAAGAGTTAAATTTCAAAGGAAGAAATAAGAAATTTCAGAGTAGGGACAAACTCTTGACATTTTCATCTGATTTGTGAAATCTATTTAGATTTGCTTTGTGATTGTACTGATGGAGCAGCGGGCCAAAGCCCGGACTTAGGGCCAAAGGGGGCTGGGCCTGGGTTTCCCCACTTTTCAGCTGAAGGGACTGAGGCAAGTCCCTCGGCTTTTTCACCTATTAAACAGTGATAATAACACTGCCTAAATCACAGGGCTGCAGAGGCTGAATGAATATGTATGTTGTTTAGCACACTGTTGGCACACATAGGCACCTACCATTTATTGCTCGAATGATGAGTTAGCTACTTCAGGGGGGAATTGAGGGGGAAAGAAGCAGCATTTAGTTTGGGGCACGTGGAGTTCCTGTCAAGTGGTATGAACTCACGTTTTAAAGCCTATTCTCTTCAAACTCTGTTCTTCTATTTCTGTATCGTACCACCTATTGGCATTTCAGGATGCATCATCTATGATGCCTAATGGGTAAATTAACCAATTCTTTAGACACAGTGGCATATTTCTTGAGTGTATCAAAATACATTGTACTTTGGATGGATCTTCATTTGGTCAACCTTCTTGAAATAAAATGGAACCTGATAAAAATTTTATAGGTAATTTTAAAAGTTCAATAATTATACTTCTTGACATCAGAGAAATTACTAATAAAAATATTAGCAATATATATTTTTAAAGAAATAACATACAGGTCACTCAAAACAATAACAGAGCCCCCCCCCAATATTATTTCAAATAATGTAAGAATTTGCTTACTAAATTGTGGTTAAAAATAATTAACCTAAATTCAGATTCATACATCAAATAAAATGATTGTAAATATAATTTGCAATATTTTGGTTTTATTTTCATTTTATGTTCTGTGGTATGTTGACCATAGTGATTCACTCTTCATAAGTTAAGATTTCCAGAATGTTTTTACCACCACTGTACATTAACTATTCTCAGAATAGAAAACTAGATTTTTAATAGGATTATTTACACTGGGGACTTCTGTCTTAAAAACTCAAAAGTTTCAAAGCAATAAGACACTGCTCTTCTATAAAGTTGGGAACAAAGCTCTAAACAATGACTCATGGCCTCAGCCTCACCCATTTCTTTCACACCAGAACGTTGGCTAACATGAGACACACCCTTTCTCTAAGGCTGGCTGAGCAAAAGGTGATGCTGAGTCAGCCTGCTGGCATGGTCACATCTCGTTTTTCAGAAATGTATTGTTGTAGGTAATGCATTAAAAATTTTTCACATATTAATGTACCCATGAAAGAACTATTTTTATGCATGACTTGTAGACAAGAGCTATAGAACTTGGGTATGCCCCCTTCCCGGGCCTGAAGGATGCATTTTCCTGCCGAGTTAGTATATAGCCAGAATGCCTCTGTCATTGTTTGCCAACTGAGGGGTCTCAGCAAGATGGAGAATACCAGGGAAGAGCCTGGAGTAAAGGAAAAATGCTGTAAATGCATAAAAACAGTATGTTTCCCTTCTGTGTAGTGATAGGGTAAGAAGAAGGGTTTCAGAGGGCTCAGCTAGCCCCTGTGCACACAGGAGTTTGCAATGAGAATGACATTGCTCTGTACCATGTAAACACTGGGCATGGCTTACCTCATTCTGTGGCTGCAACAGGAGCTTTTAAACTTTAAAAAATTCACAATGTGATTTTATAGAGGGAAAAATACTCAAGCCTGTTGGCACACATTTGAAGCCAACCTCATTTTTTAGATGTGAATATGACATCTTAGTCAAATTCCAGTCTGTATTGTGTTCTGAAATGGCCAAGCTGAATCCTGACGTTGGCTAAACCTAAATGCAATGTGAAATCCTCCATGGAGAGAAAATAAGAATTTTAAATATTCTGATTAGAATCATTTTGATCTCTGAACAAGCAGTCATGTGGCATCTATGTATGTGTCAGGATGGGCTCAGTCTTTCATCGGAAATAATGGAGGAAAAATTCTTAGTAAGCATAAAACAATACCTTGAAAGTGAATTGCTCATTGAAGACAGGATTGAGGGTCTTTCGGTGGACTTTTGTCTCAAATTTCTTCTTCTTATCAGGCAGCAGGAACACTTTCACATAGGGATCAGATGTGCCCCCCATGTCCAGGGCGGGCAGCTCGGCTGCCTGGATGATCCCCACCAGCAGCTGAAATAAACAACAGAATACGGCAAACACAAACGTTGGTGGATACTCTGGAAAAGATTTATTTGTTCACATTGCTGCACATTGTGATTTCTCCCTCTTCCTCTTTGCTTTGAATAAACACTATTTTTCTCTTGTGAATCTGAACACAGAAGGCAAATGAAGTGAGCTATATAGACTCCAGAAACCCAATTATGACAGATGCAGGCTCTAGGAAGCCTGATTTTAAGCACATAAGAGGCTTTCAAAAGGTTGCTGATTACAGTTAACTATAGAATTCATATCTGCAAATGAGTTGCAATCAAATAACTTTCCAGTTGCTAAAAGCCCTTGTGCATTATTTTCCTTGCTAGGGCGTGATTTGTAAGTGGAAATAAATCGTTGAACAATCACAAGTGTATAATTATAAACTAGGAAATTTTTATTCTACACTAAAGCCTCAGACCAACTAAATAGAAATTCTTAGAAATTAGGTACCATTTTGAGATAATAATATCTTCAAGTTTTTATCATATTTGACTTTTACTTGTGTGCTGACTACTTTTGCTTTAAATGACAGTAAAGTGATCTTTATATATTAAATTCTGTGTTTAAATTTAAGACATAGAGTCAAGGAAGTATAATTTCAGCCTCATGTAAAGGAAGGAAATACTAGAGAGATGGTTTTTGCTGTTAAGTGTGATGAAGTTTCTGTTGTTTTTTTTCCCCCAACACAGCAGAAAGATAGGCATTTTCAAGTCTCTTTTCTGAGTGACATACAGCTCTGTCTTGTTGTGAACAAGAGCATGGGCTGGCATTTTAAATTATTTTTGTAAAGAAACAAAAGCTGTGAGTAGACTATCCTAGATGCTCTGCCGCCAGACCATTGTGTCAACAGGCTGCTCTAGATCCGTATGAGAAACAAAAGTAGATGCCCTTGTTGTTGCTTGAGGTGTATGCTATTCAGTAAATGCAGTCACACCATAGCTTTTAACACCAGATCCTGAAAGCTTGGGTTTGAGACGTCTTAGCCAACATAGTGGAAAAGCAATTCACTGTCCCCTCGCCCCCACAAAATAAAAAGGTCACAGCTGTTTTCCGCCAAAGTGACTCACCATGTTTGTGAGTACAGTTTGGTTGGTTGACTCAGTTTTTAAGCTGGATTAATACCCTGTGTGATTATGTTTTCATTTTAAAGCTTCAATATCTACGTGATATCATCATACAACAAAAGCAATGAAAATGCTGGATTGTAGGCATACAAAACAGAGATTATCAAAGAATAGCTAAAATAGGCATTAGATAATAAAGACATACTTAGTGAATCAAACAGTTTGTCTCTCGGTAGGCTAAATTGGTTTTTAGTGTCTGCCTTTAGATTGCATGTGAATAAGCAAGATTTTATTTTCTCTTCACTTGCAAAAACTTTTTTTCTTCTGGGGAAGGAAATCTCTGGAAATATACCTAAAGACTTTAAAACCAGATCATGTATATTTGAATGATTTTTGGATATTTGTATATAAGGGGTGGAATTCCTTCTTCCAAGACCACTCTGACTTAACTGTTTGATAGAGAAGCATCACATTCCCCTCATGAAAGCATCTGTGAATACTTCAGGGTTGTCTTTTAATTTCGCTCACAGACCTGTATATTTGATTAAAGCCTTATCTGGAAAGGTCCTCAGACTTCATCTTCCATGACTCAAAGGAATCATTTTGTAAATCATGTAAGTTGAGACCATTTGGAAAATCATTGCAAATTTTTAATATTATTGATATTAAAAGTTTCATCTGGTAAGCTCTTCTAGATCATTAGAATAAAATGCCTGCTTAAATTTGATGTTTACTAGAAAAGGAGCAGTAAATACACTCATATTTCAGTGAAAAAAATCAGTGCTATTACTTTCTTAAAAATACTATTTTATTAAAAAATACTATTTTATAAAAGAGTTCTAGTACTCAAAGGCAACTTAGAACTTTCAAAATTATGACTGACCAGAATGAGATAACACCAGATTTCTACTGAGAAGTATGAAAGTAAAATAAACTAGTAGAAAAATATAGGATACATATAAAAAGCAGGTCAAATTTCTAGAAAACATGGTATATGTCAAGATAATATAACTTGACCTTGACCTTCCTGAGGATATTAAAAAAGTTTTGCTTTTAACTAAGTCCTGATGATCAAATTTTGGATTAAGTGATAGAAATGACCTCAAATGCTCCAGTTAATTAACTATAAAAAGTATACCTACAAATCAGTATAAATCCATACCTGTAACCAACACACAGCTTTCTACAATGTATTATGAAATAACTAGCCAGGACTGTAATGAAGGTGAATGAGTAAAATTATTTTTAATATGATAAAATATATCAACACGTTCTTCATGAGACGTCCTCTGGAGACTCCAGAGAACGGAGCCAGGGTCTGAGCTGTCAGTCTCCAAAGGAAGCCTGGTGTCCGTATGACCATGCGACCCTGCGACCCTGGGACCATGCAGGGCTCTCACGGCTCTCCTGCCTTCTGATGGCAGTTGTCAAAGAGGAACCTTGGGGTTTGACTTACGTGTTCCATTCCTCATCAAACTGGAAATAATTAACACAGGCTGCATTAGCAGTAACTGTATTTACTTCACACTTATCAGTTCTCCCTCTCCCAAAACGATGAGCAGAGGCAAACAAACTGGAGTTCGACAACTCCCCTCTTTAGAGAAGGGCCATGTCCTAAGGGTTCATGAGAGTCAGATTTCTAACTCAGCCGCTTCCACTGATTCTCAACTAACTTTTTAATTCCTTGAACAATTCAGTAGATAAGGAGTATATTCATCAATGTCCTAGAATCTTTTTATGTGGAGGGGTTTCTAACAGCTGTGTGTGTGTGTGTGTGTGTGTGTGTGTGTGTGTGCGTACATGTGCTATCTCTATAAGGGCAGGCAATAATGGGGAACTGATATTGTTAATCTAGTTGGCACTTCATGGTTATTTGAGAAACTGAAGCAGAAATGCCTGTTTTGTTACCTCTTTTAGTGTTTTGGTACTTTTTTGGCAGCAGTCATAGGTACTAGAAATGAAGTTTTCTGGTCTTTCGGCTCTTTTAGAACTGCTATCATTAGCATCAGGAATTCGACCTTATTATCATGATATTATATAAGGCATTCCTACCTTCGAAATTCATGGACTACAATTTTCCATCTTTGATTCCTTATCAAACTGTTACATTACATTTCAAAACTTTGGCTTGCATGATGGCGTTACTCAAAGGCCCCTCACACTGTTTGGATCTAATCCATGCAGTGCAAGGAGAATTATTGCAGCTCCGGCTGAGGGTGGGTGCAGCCAGGCTGGCTGGGAGCTCTCAGAATCAGTCTGACTGCTTCAGGTTAATTTGTATTCTGCCCGCCTATTGTAAGTGCTATAAGTTAGATGTAATCGGTTGAATACTGTGAATTCCAATTACCAGAAGTTAAATTAGCAAGTAGGAGACTGCCTGTACTTAGAAATTATTTCATCAATAGCTTTGATAATTGCATTTTCCCCTTGCAGCCAACGAAATGTTTTAAGAAGTATCATGCTTCAATTTCTACTTGGTAATTTCAGAAAACGTAATGGAATTAGAAAACATTTTCCCCCTCAGACCTGGTTGTTCTGGAAATCATAATCCAGTGAATATTGAAGCTTTCCCAGTTTCTCCTCTTCTTTGGGTTCTTCTTTTTCTTCCCCATCAGTCAATCCAGTTTCAGCATCATCATCCTTAAGGGCCTGTGATTAGGGAAATAGATCATATGTGAATTCAAGTGCATTTGCATCAAAATCCGAATTAAACTGGGCCTGTGGTTATACTTCCAAGCTGTCAGAAGCAAGCACTAAGATGCTGGAAATCTCAGTTGGTCTGACACACATTCACATTTGCTGCTTACATATTTTTTAAAATTCCATTTATGCACGGAATTTTTCCCCCAATCAGCAAGCAACATGGAAGCAATGGAAAAAGCCCCTAAGAATATTGCAAGCAAAAAATGTAAAGTTGTTGCAGAGAAGATGTCAGTTTGGCATTATATTTGACTCTGCTGAAACTGCTCATTTCAGAGGTATGATAAACATGCTATTAACCAGGCCAGGATTCACATTCACGCAGGTTAAAGCGAGTTGAGCTGACCATCATGTAAAACACCATCGTTACATGCAGCGAGGTAATTCATGTGAAATGTGTGGCCTTTCCTTGCCTTGTTTCCTATGAAAAAATAGTTGAGTAAGTGATTCTCAGAAAGTTTTAATTCCCTATGTTTCACATCTACATTTATAATGGTCATGGAAAAAGAGAAAAAAACATGCTACCAGCAAATGCATGTTTAGAGAGAAATCGACTCCATTTTCAGTTTACGTTTACCATTTTATTTTCATAACAGCTCCACAGAAAGCTAGGCTGAATTAAATTGATTTTATGGGTCCATTTGATACCAAAAAAATAAAAGGAGTTATATTTGCAATTTTGTCAAACTGATACTGCTATAAAAATTTATTTTGCATTAATGAACAAAAATAATGGGGTTGAACTCACAAAGCTCAGTTTGTATCAGTTGAATATTTTTATAACCTAAAACTTAAGTGTAATATAAATTGAAATACTAGAAAGCTCATTATTTCATAAAATACATTCAAATGCTCCTCTTAAAAAATAAAAATATAGAATATATTTTTTCAGTAAGTACTGAAATTTTGCTAAATAACCAAACATAAAGATTATAAAAAGTGAAAGTTTGTTTCTGGAGATGTGCATTCTTATTCCCTGTAAGGATTTAAAAAAAGAATTAGAAATAAATGCATAATTCTTATTGTTCATTAAAAATGGTAGTGTTACATATCCCTAACCACTAGAGAGGTTAACAAAAATTTTAAATCTTACACTAACCACATTTGTTTTTTTTTCTTCTGGAGACTGCCAGGATGTAGCCTTTGCTAATTTTTCTTTGTGTTGTTTGCCTCTTCTTGGTTTGCAGAGGCTGTGTTATTTTAATGATTTCAACCTTTCTGTTGTATATAGGGAATATTTTCTCCTAGTTTTGGGTTCTAGTGTTTTCATGGCTGTGTGTGTGTTACTGTAGAACCTCACAGAAATCAAGTTACGACACGTAGATGGGAGACTGCTTTATATCTCTGACAAAGTAAGGGAATCTTCACTCTCCTCAGCAGTCAAATTAAATCTGAGCATTCTTATAGAACTTGAATGCAAGAAGCATAACCAGGCTTCAGAAAGGCACCAGAATCATCAGACTACCCAAGCTTTTCCACTACTCCCACTTCCCAGACCACACGGTATTTTTTCTCTGCTGAGAGAAGACTTTTCTGTTTACTTATCCATGAACACAGAGACCCTGGATGATGCTTCAAAACGACACCCTCAGTTCCTTAATTGACAAAGTTTTCCAATTTGGCTCTACCCCGGGAACTCCAATATAATCCCCCCAAACTGAGGTGTTTTGGCACCGTATTGGCATAGTTTATTTGGGTGGGAAGATCAGACAAACAGAGAGTTGCACTGTAGTCAGAGATGCTTCCCTTTTGTGGTCCTTGAAAATTTTCAGGAGTCTACAAAGAGTAGGGAAAATTAAAAATTGCCATCCATGTATCAGTGGAGAAACTTTTAAAAATCTGGTGAGCCATATACTATTTAATGTGGAAACTTTAAATTATACTTGGATGTTTCCTTGAATAGTAAACTGTTGATTTACTGATAGCCAAAGGTAAGAAACAATGTAATGATTTAAAAATTTATATTAACCTTTTAACTTGGGGGAGGGGTCACTAAAGGGAATATGGTGGTAAAGTAACAAGAAGAGACAATTGGGTTTAATTATAGGGCTTGAGGCTGTGGAATCACATTGCCCTTTCAACACCTTAGCTGTGTGCAAGTCTTTAACTGTCAAAGAAGATGTGCTGAGAAAATTTTAACCTAGGTAATTTGCCTCCCTGTAAATTTTTAAAATAATAATAGCAAATGAATGCATTGTTCTGTCTGAAAAAATCTGCACATTACTCCACCATAATAAAAAAATTTCATGGATTAAAATAGTTTTTCAAAATGCTCAGAACTGACAATTTACATATCATGTTTCAGCCCAGTGCAATTTGAAATAGCTGAGATATTAAATCTCTTTCTCCCTAAGTGGGCTTGCCCTAATAAAAGGTGCAGGACCATCTCTTCAATTATTCTGCATGAAATAGGTCTAAATTTTTGATAATTTCTCAGTGCCACTGTTCATCACTGAAGTGATTAAGTCTATTCTTGTCCCAAAGGCTGAGTTTAACCAAGACATTTTCTGTACTATCACATTAAATTCAGGCCTATTAAATCAGTAGCCATTATAATATCTCGAGAGTAATACTTCCTCCCACAAAGGAACAAAATGCAGAGGAAAAGCTTGTAAACCCAGCGGCTCTGAGAGTTTGATAAATTGCTGTAGAAAAGCTGTGTTGGGAACATTGACCTTGTTTTAAATTTCAAAGATTTAGTGCACATGCTTCTGGTTTGCTTCCACATTCAAAAGGTGCTTAGTTCACAGCCACTGAAAGGAGCACTGGCTCATTCTCAGTTAAATGGTCTGGGTTTGCATTTGATAAGGCACAGGAAAAAGCCAGCAACAAAGGGCTGCATTTCCTTTCTGTGCCCATCAATTAAAAACTTGAGCTTTCTAATAATACTTTACTTCACCAGTTAGTAATATTTAATGTGAGAACCCTTCATCTTTACAAAACCAATTTAGTTCAGCCTCTTGATGTGTGTCAGAATGGTGCAGCCTCGGAGGTAGAGCCCCAGCTGCCAGGCACTGAGTGTGTCTGAGCGCTGACGTAGGAGTATCTAAGTAGCAGAGGAAACCTACCGCAAGGGACAGTCCAGAACAGTCATGAGACACAACACAGATAAGGAGGACATAGAAGGAAGAAATAAAAATTAAAGTATCCATACACATTAGTAAAAACGATGGAGAAATGACCTTTCCAGACCTAGGACTTTTTAAGTTGATATTTTTCTTCTGTATTTTTAATGTTCTCAAGTTTTAAGGCACTAAAAAAAGACATATATATATCTTTTGTTGCATAAATATAGTATTTGTAGTTAATTTTTTTGTTGCCATTGCAGAATATTTAAAAATTCCTCCTTGGTATAAAATGTTACCATAGAGACATATAGCCATGAATGCTGAAATTTAATTTCTGTTTTTTTTTTATGGATTGAAACAGTAAAAACTTTTTGATTTTCCCAGAGCCTAGATATTTTAAGAAATATCGAAAATGCCTCTCAGATCTGTTTTAAAGTGAGAGGCACATGGTCTGTCTGCCCCATGTTCATATTAATATTCTGTTTAAAACCACATAAAAATATAAATATTTAAAACAATAATTTTACTGTGTGGTAAGGATGTTTTGAATTAGTATGAATTAAATGATATCTGAATGTTGATCAAATATAATAGAACATCTCAAAATATTTGAATGACATTTTACTTTTTCTTCCTTACTCTTCATAAAATGATAGAACCCTTTATCAGCTACTTTGTCAGTCTTAAAAAGTATCATAAGCTACTGCTATGTAATTGTTCATTCGTAGGGCCTACTTTCAGTTGTCTAAACACTTAATTGTTTATAAATCATTTAACATTTAATTGTTCATAAATAAAAATAAGATCTATAAAATTCTATGTAAATTGGTCTACTTAAAATAATTAAAAACACCTCTTTGAGGGTTGAAATCCTAAATGCCATGCTGTGACAGATTACTGTAAACTGTCATTGACTTCCTTATTATTTCCTTATTTGACTCATTTTCTCTTCCCCTCCCACTTAAAGGAATAGGTGACCAATGAAAAATTAACCACAATCAGTTCTCTGTATTTATTACTTTTGAGATCTCGGTCATTTATCCAGGTCATACTGGGGGTAATAAACATCACTACTATTCTATAAACTATAGACTTACACAATACAGAACAAAGCTTACAATGAAAAATACAAATTGCTTGTCTTAGAAAGAAACACTATAGGTAATTAATATTAGTTGGTGCTTTTAATTTTTAATTATAGGATACTGGAATTTAAATATTATAGTTATGAAAATGATAGTATTGTATTTTCAACTTATTATTTAACATATATAGCTGAAATTCATGTAAAATTATTCATTTCATGTCCATCTAGAAGATTATTTCTACATGTATTCCAATAAGTTGTTTAAAGAAATCTGTATCAAGTCCTGCTTGCTATGGAAATGTTGAAATAAGGCAAGACATGGTTTAAAATTTGTTTCTATGTGACAGATTAACCAAAGAAAACAGTCCTTAATAGACGTTGAATGTTTGTGTTTCTGTGGCTGTGATTAGAAACTTACAGGAAAATGTAACCCTTCTCACTCCGAGCTCAGGACACAGCTCTCTGAGGTGAGCACCAACCTTCCAACCCTTCTTTAGCTCTGAAACCAATCGAAAGCTGAGCTTGTGAAAAAATGAGCCTTTGTATAATTGTTTTCAGTAGACATTACTGTGTCTTTGAGAAAAAGACAGGCTGGGGTGCAGGGTTATTTCCTGAGTGGGTGGTTAACTAGGAAACCATGCAAATGTACTAAAATGGGTCTGTTGATTACATTGTTCATAAGAGTCATATATTTAGGAGTTTAACTAATAGTAATAAATATTATCAGAGGAATTTGTAGAGCTGACTATGTTGTTATTTGGGAATAAATAGAATTTTTGAATTATATGAAGGCTTCCATTGATAATTAAAAATGTTATTTTTTGAAAAATCTTTTTGTATTTTTTAGTGTAAATTAAATGTTACTTAGAAATATCCAATATGAACATGATTTCAAAAACTGAAGAGACATTAATTATTATAATTGATAGTAAACTATGCTGAACCAAATCATTCAGTTAATTTAACAAAAATAGACAATATAAAGACCATCCAAACAGTTTCCTTAGGATTGAGAAAATAATCCAGCCAGAGAGAGTTTATAATCTACATTATGTTTTTAACTGTTCTTATGGAAAGATAAAGAATTTTGCCTTCAAATTCTGCCGCCTTCTTTAGGGCGTGCTCATATTTTTCTCCTTCCGGAGAAAAGCTCAACTGGAACGATCATTTACATTCTAAAGCTCCTAATTCATTCCGAGCACTTATTATTGAGCTGGATGAAAACATACCATGAGTAGCTTTCATCACATATGATAAACACCTTTTAGACTCAGTTATTTAACAGTGAATAAGAGCAGTAACAATGCTAGAAAGGCGACTTGCCCAAGAGGGAAGACACTCAGTTACTCTTTAATATATTTCTCAAACTCTAAACACAATGAAGGTGAGCAGATAGATGTAATCAGAACATCTATTCACATTCCAATATGCTGGACCCACCGAGATGGCCCTGGAGGCCCTTTTCTGGTTTACATGCTTAGGGAATTCTAAAACCCTACCAAGTGTTTCCGCTGCACCTTGGGATACTGAATAATGACTGAAAGGATGGCCAAGCACCCCTACAGCAATGACAAGTGTCCAGAAGTTGTTTAGTGCTATACTTATCTGGCATAAAATAATAAACCATTTATTAATTTTCAGTAAAATCTAAGAAGAAAGGTGGAATGAATATATTACCTGATCTTTCATGGTCTTCCCCAAGTCTTTCACATCTTTCATGTTAATGGCATTCTTCCCTCCCTTTTCTTTCCCCTTCTTCTTATTTTTCTTTTTGAACAAACATTTCTTACAGATACAAAAGCAGCAGGTCAGGACTAGAAGGACTGCAACTATGGCTATGGCAATTAAGGCCCATGGTGGCACTGAAAGAAAAAAACATGCAGAGCACATTATCAGTATAACACATATGCAAAACTGTTAAGGTAGTCACCCTTCCATTCCTACTGAATGCCTATTAAGCTCCAGGCGCTCTGTCCTGCATTACTTTATCCAATCTGTTTCTCCTGCCTAGAGTGTTCATATTTTTTCGATTTTGCCCCACCAGATATGTCAAATGTCATTGCCTCTCTGTTGCTTTCCCTGCCCTTCCAAGCTATATTTTCAATAATTCCTTCCTTCCTTCCTTCCTTCCTTCCTTCCTTCCTTCCTTCCTTCCTTCCTTCCTTCCTTCCTTCCTTCCTTCCTTCCTTCCTTCCTTCCTTCCGAGTATAGCTCTGGAGTTTGACCTTTGAGTTTAAACCCTAGCTCCACCATTTACTAGCTGTGTGACCTTGAGCAAGTTGTTTAACTTCTTTCTGCCTCAGTTTCTTCATCTTTAAAGTGGTGGTAAATTGGTAGGTATCTCATGGTCTTTCTGAAGTTTAAAATAAGATGCAGTGCCTAGCCCGTGGTAAAAGTTTAGTAAATATTCACTATTATTACTCATGAATTAAATACTAGGACTCTGTTCTGTCTGGGCCCAATGGGAAGGGTTGACATGTAAAAACGAATGTAACACCATAGTAGCAGCGAAGGTTAGGAAGGACTGCTCGGTGCTCTGGGAGTCAGTGCGGGGAAATGTACCCACTCAGGATGTCCAGAGGCGGGCTGTGGTAATGTGTTCGGTGGCTCTAAACCACGGGCGAATACAGGCATGGACACTTACAGGCTGTGTAACTCTGGCCAGATTGTTGAACTGTTCTGAGTTTCTGAAGGTAATAGTGGTACCCATTTCATCTCTTTTGAAAATGAAAGGCGTTAAACTAGAAAGTGTAGAATGGCATCCAGCACACAGCAAGAACTCAATGTTAGCTCTTTCTTTATATTCAAGACATGGAGCTAAGTACTGTGCGTAGAGCTCAGAGCATATGTGGTGACATGTAACATGCACACTGATAAACATATAAAAAGGAAGATGAATACACCAAAAAGAGTTCAGTGGATATGCAAGTGGGACTGAGAGAGGGAAGAGAAGTTTTTAGGTGAGAGCTTCAGATTCGCAGGCTCTGTTTAAAATAGTAAAGCGCGTATAAGTAAGTATACTCAAACATTTTTATTACAAGTTGCCCATCTACTGAAAGTCAATCTATTTTCTTATTTGGTACCCCCTGCACATGTGCTTATCAAAAATTAGTTCTTGTGGAAATGTTTAGAATTTTACTTTGCCTGAAAAGAAATTATTCAACTATTGAGATTAATCAGAAGAAGTAATTAGATTTGCCTGTTGTAATCAGAAAAGGCACTGCGCACTGAGGCAGTGGGAAAAGCTCGATTTTCTTCTAGCTACATAAACATTATTAGGTCCAATGACTGCGGGAGACAAGGCAGGAGTACGCTGATAAAATAATAGCAAAAATATTAGCATCTCTTCCAAACTGAGGAAGCCTACTCTCTTTGGCTTCATAGAGTAGAATATGTGCTGCGCATATTATTCTAGTTTATGATCGACTACTAGATGTTAACCTAAAGACATATACAATCACACTTCCAAAATTGGTTTTCAGACAAATATTTGTGTGAAAGTTATAGGCAAGTTTACACCCAAAGATATTTTATCATTCACTAATCTCATTGAAATCATATTTAAATAAAAAGTAAATTAAAGTAAGTTTATGAAACCAATGATATTATTCAAAGTACCTCAGTTAAAGGCTTCTTGCCTCTTCTGACCTAGTTCAAACCCTACCAAGCATGAACAGGAGAGCCTGTGTATTCATTGCTGGTGAGACAGTATTTTCCCAAGGATTGCTCAATTTCAAACTTGTAAATTATTCTCCTAGTTAGACCTGTATGATGGCCTTTCAGAGAGAAATATAAAAGTCTCTTAAATTACACAGGACGAGATGAAGATCATTTGACAACTTCACAAAAAATAAAAGACAGTGAAAACAGACACATTTAATCAGAAGAAGTTAAAAGAATAGAAACATAGGATTACAGCAAGAAATCTGAAATAGCGCCACTTGAAAATAAATCACAACCACTGAAAAACTTATTTCATGACTGTCTTAAAGTGTTGCTGTCTCCTAGATTTCCTTTCAGTTGCTCTTCTGAGTAATTTTAACTTTGAATATGCTGTATTGAGTATATGGAATTAACAAAAATTTCCTCATAATTTAAAAGACAATGTAATTCTGTATACTTATGGAAATCTGAACGACTAGTTAATTATAATATAAATCACCATTTTTAATTAAATTATTTAAGTTGAATTCTCATGTTAAAAAATTAATTTTACTGCGTAAAGCAACCAAACATTTAAAATGCGATGAGTTTAAAAAGAAACACCATCTACATTATTATTTACTTGTAGTTATTATAGAAATATGTTTGAATATTAGTGGTTAAATCTCATGGAATATATTTTGGATTTAGGCTAAAATATTATTGAAGACCTACTTATTATTGGCCAGCAACTGTGCTACTGCTGTACATACATCGTCTAATTTAATCTTCATTGCAATTTTGTCCAAAAAAAAACTATATACAAAGAGAAAACTATGAATTGAATAGTTTGAGGAATTCAAATATGTTTTACATTATTAGGTTAAAATGTATATTTTTTAAATGTATAAAAATGAAAAAATCCTTATTGATCCTTGAAGGCTCTTATAATAGAATATTTTATATTAAAAAAGTGAAACAAATAATAGCACAAGATGTTGCCAAGAATGATTTATATAATATAAAGTATAACTTCCATGAAAATCTCATCAAAATATTGCTACTTGAAGAAATCTATCAATTTATTGTTATTGCTACCAACTATTATTAAATAGAATTTAAGAATTTTAACATTTAACTTAAAAAACTTGCAGCAGAAAATAATAGACTAGTGTAAAAATTCTTTGTTAAAATACTTTTTCTCTTCTAGTTAATGAATTAATCTCAGATATTATGTAACCCAAAGGTAAACTGTTGCACAAAAATTAGGGCAAAGTCAAACCAAAACTGTTCTGATGCTTTGACTTAGACTTGGTGGTAGGTAGAATGATACCTCAACAATGTCTATACTTTATTCCCTGGAGACTGTTAATATGTTAGCTTACATGGCAAAAGGACTTTGCAAATGTGATTAAGAATCTTAACATATTGGGATTATCCAGATGGACCCAAGAAATGAAGAGTAGAATGGTTACTAGGGCTGGTACAAAGGTGTGTGAGGGGACAGATATGTGTATGTGTGTGGTGAACACGTTTAGGAGATACTGTCTTAGTAAATTTCAAGTACATACTTTAAGTCATCGCATTATTACCTTAAATTTACCCAAAGTTATTTATTACATCTTAATGTAAAAAAAAAAAAAAAGGGAGGATCAGTCCTGCTGACTATGATTTTAACTTAGTAAAACCCATTTGGACTTTTGACTTCCAGACCTAGAAAATACTACATTTGCTAGTAAATGCCTGTAAATTTGTAGTAACTCATTATAGCAACAATAGGAAACTCAAGAGGTACAAAGCAGAGCTTGGGAAGTTTGTAATATAAGCCGCATGTAGATGATTGTACAATTGGAATATTAAGGTGGGCTATTTCTATATGTTCTATGACCTTCCTTCTTACCTGTCCTTTCACCCATCTCTTCTAAAACCATTCTCGTAATTCTGACTTTGTACCAAAGATTCTATCAAGGGTAACTGATGGTTTTCTTTTGGCCAAACCCAAACAACATTGTCTGTGGTATGGGAAGATCTTGATTATATCTTCCTTTTTGAAACTTTCTTCTACTTTTGTTTCTGTTGCCCTTATCAGCATCTCCTGCTAAGCCTCTGACTTTGTTTCTTTGCTTCCCATTCCCAAATCTTAAATGGCATTATTTAAAGTTCTTAGTCCTTTGCTCATCTTGGCATTCTCTTATTGTTGGGCACACCCTTTCCTACATCTTAATCTTTTTTTAAAAACAGATTCTCTTTTTAAAGATTTTATTTATTTATCTTTGGAGGGGAAGGGAAGGAGAGAGGGAGAGAAATATCAATGTATGGTTGCCTGCTGGGAACTGGCCTGCAACCCAGGCGTGTGCCCTGACTGGGAATTGAACCAGCGATCCTTTGGTTCGCAGGCCAGTGCTCAATCCCTATGTCTTAACCTTTTAGGTCCATTATTTTATTCCTGCTTCTATTCTCTTGAACTGTACCCCCTATTGCCTATAGAATATTTTCTATGAATTCTTTATCTTCTCAAACCAGTTCTGCAAAACAACTATATGCCTTTTCCTTGTGCTTCTATTTTTTGCTGCCTCTTGGACTTTAAAATCATGTGAAAACCTTTTGTTTCTGAATCTGACTGGTTGTCATGTCATGCCATTTTGTCTTTGATGCATTTTATATTTCTTTTATATCTATTTCCACTTGTAAGGGGTTTGCCTAACATTACCTCTTACATAATTTCTGTTCCCATCATTTACCTCTTCTCTTCATTTTACCCATCCATGGTCATTGGACACAACTTTCTAATACATAATTTTAAATTATTTTGTACAAAGCTTTTAGAGTTTGTCATTTGTTGCACCTACGTGTCCATCCCTTTTTCCTCACTGTTCCCTACACCTATCTCTGTTCTCATCAGACCGAGTAGTCTGTTCTTTGCTTTAATTCTACCCCCTGTTTTTTCAAGCGTCTTCCTTTTTTTTTTTGTAATGGTATCCTTCCTCCTCTTCAGTCATTTAAATGATGTTTACTTTTTGAAGCTCTACACACACAGGTCTCACTTAATGTGGGCAGATTTTTACAAGGGGACTCATTATGGAAGTTGGGGGTGGATTGGGTAGAGGGGGGAAATGTGAGACAGCTGCTAATAGCATAAACAATAAGATATTTTTAAAAATAAATAAAAATATTATATATGTTTGTTAAAATTTCTTTCTTTCACCCAATGTAAAAATAC